TTTTCTGCTAGTTATACAGCATATCCTGTTTCTTTTGCTGCTAAAGATCATCTAGAGAGTGGCAATAAAAGTAAACCCTAAACCCTAAACCCTAAACCCTAAACCCTAGGATAGTAGGGGAGGAAGGATACACAAACAGACACCAAACCCTAAACCCTAACACCACATGAAAGCGGAAACACAAGTACACACACCAAACCCTAAACCCTAAACCCTAATTGGCTCAAGGGAGGCAGTGTTTAGTTCCTTGTTTCAGCTGTGAGTAGCTTGGGTATTAGGGTTTGGGAATTAGGGTTTAGGGTTTAGGGTTTAGGGTTTGTGCAGTTCTTCTTCCTCCTTCGGCGCTGCATGCGTTGGCTCGTTTGCACATTTCTTGGCCAATGCATTTCCGCATCTGCAACCCTGCAAAGGTAAGTAAACCCTAAACCCTAAACCCTAATTTAGCACTACAAGGGGTTCTATTTTCGCCCATGGGGACCGCTAGGGTTTAGGGTTTAGGGTTTAGGGTTTAGGGTTTGTGGCTGCTTCAGGACAAACTCACACACTGTGGAGTCCTTGAGTTCGTATCAGAGGAAGGGACCTGCTACATGCCTTACTGGGTAAGCCCTAAACCCTAAACCCTAGCCCTCAATGTCATCAATACTCTGCTGCCTAAACCCTAAACCCTAAATTCACCGTATGCTTGCAGTGTGTTAAGGGTGGTTTCTGCGATGCTTGAATTGTTAAGGGTTTATTTGAGGGTTTAGTGTTTAGGGTTTGGGGTTTAGGGTTTAGGGTTTGTGCAAGCTAAATCTGCGTCTGTATCTAGGGTTTAGGGTTTAGGCTGTCAATACAGATTTATGGTTTACGATTTAGTTCGGGTTTATGTTGTGAAATATGAAATTTTGAAATTTAGGGTTTAGGGTTTAGGGTTTAGGGTTTAGGGTTTAGGGTTTAGGGTTTGGTATCCTTATTATACATCCATATGATGCAGAATTTAGAATTAGAGGGATGATGAATAGTGACGATAACGAATGTTTCAGATTTCGGATTTAGATTTTAGGGTTTAGGGTTTAGGGTTTAGGGTTTAGGGTTTAGGGTTTAGGGTTTGGTGTGATTGCTGTATACAGATGATGCAGAATTTAGAATTAGAGGAAGGAGGAATAGTCACAATAACGAATGTTTCTCTTCCTAAAGGAACATTTGTTCAACTTCAACCATTAGAAACAGATTTCTTGGATATTAGTAACCCTAAGGCTCTGTAAACCCTAAACCCTAAACCCTAAACCCTAGAAATCCTAAATATACCCTTAATATACCCTAAATATACCCTAAGTATTGTAAATTCACCATAGGAATCCTTGAAACCCTACAAGATCGAGGAATAAACCCTAATTCAACTTTTTCCGCGGTGGAAGCTGGGCAAGGCATCGGTGATTAGGGTTTAGGGTTTAGGGTTTAGGGTTTGGGTTTCAGGCTTGAAATGGCATTGAGGGGGTATGCGGCATTAACAAAGGGAGAAGTTGTTTCTCTCCCTTTCCTCGATTGCGTCTACCATCTCCGCGTAGCGGTACGTAAACCCTAAACCCTAAACCCTAATTTCGTATATTGTAAACAATAGACCCTATAAACCCCATACCCTAATGAAGCGTAAACCCTCGTAAACCCTAAACCCTAGTTATGAACCCTGGATGAGCATTGGCATCACCCCTCATTCAGTCTGTAAACCCTAATAATAAACCCTCCCAAACCCTAAACCCTAAACCCTAAACCCTAAACCCTAAATTAGGGTTTGTGTCTTAATAGGACTTACGCCCCGCTCCTGCTGTCTCAATTGTTGAGACGGATGTTGAAGTTGAATTTAAAGCACCAGAGGAACAGCAAAACCCTAGCCCGGTCCCAGACCCTGCAGCAGGTAACCCTAAACCCTAAACCCTAAACCCTAAACCCTAAAATGACATTTGGGCCAAATAGACGTAGAAGGGAGCAACAGATGATCCTGCAGTCGCTCATGATCAACATGCTGCTGTTGTTGCTGCTGTTAATCCTGCTGCTGCTGCTGCTGTTGCTGCTGCTGCTGCTGCTGCTGCTGTTGCTGCTGCTGCTGCTGCTTGCAGATGGTGGATATATCAGCAGCGACGAGGCTTCAGAACCCCCTGAGGAAGAAAGCGTAAGCCTAACGTTTATTTAGGGTTTAGGATTTAGGGTTTGGGGTTTGGGGTTTGGGGTTTAGGGTTTAGGGTTTGGGGTTTGGGGTTTGGGGTTTAGGGTTTAGGGTTTGGGGTTTGGGGTTTAGGGTTTAGGGTTTAGGGTTTGTGTTACCCTTTAGGCGTTTGCTGGGGAGGGACGTCGGTTAGATGGTAGACCGCTGCGCAGCGGCAGCAGCAGCAGCAACAAAGGCAGCAGCAGCAAGAGCAGCAGCAAACTAACAGAAGAGGAGAAGCTGCTGCGGCGCAAGCCTTGGTTAGGAAAGCTGCCTCATGGTGTCCGGGTAAACCCTAAACCCTAAACCCTAAACCCT